CAGTGTAGAATGGTGGCTTCCAGGGGCTGTGAAGTGAGAAAAATAGGGAGAAGCTGGTAAGGGGGCACAAACTATCCGATAAAAAGTGAACGAACATCTGGGGATGTATAACTTGATGACTACAGTTGATAATGCTGTATTATATAATTGCAATTTGCTTAGAAAGTACAAACTCAATGTTTTCACCACAAAGCATCAAGATGTAAATGGGGCAAATGCCAGGTGTGTTAAATAACTCAATAGTGAGACTCCTTTCAGTGTATGTGTATATCAAATAATTACATTGTACACTGTAAATATATTACAATTTTATTTGTCAATTATAATCCAATAAAGCTGAAAAAAAGAAATGAGCATTCAAAGTCTTAAAAAAAGAATAGAGATGAGATAAAGACATTGTCACATGAAGGAAAGCTAACAGTATATTTCACTAGGCAGTTGCACCAGAGAATGGCTAGAGGAATATCGCATATCAAAAAAAAATATGATGAAAGAACAAACCTTAGAGCATCAAGAGGAAGAAATACAGTAAAAGCAGCAAAACATGGAAGTCAAGAAACTGGCTGTCATACATCTCTGGCAGGAGAATAAAAGGCACAGCCTCCCTGGAAAACTTTTGGCAATTTCCTGCAATGCTAAACATGTTATTACTATACAACCAAGAATCTGTACTCTTGGTTATGATATAAGAGAAATCAAAAATTATGTCTACACAAAAACCTATAAAAGAAAAGTCATAACAATTTTACTTGGATACTGAACACTGGAAAAAATCCAGATGTTCTTCAACAGTGAACCAATACACAAACTGTGGTGCATTCATACCATGAAATAGTCCTCAACACTAAAACAAAAACAAAAAAAGAATTACTGATGCATGCCACAAGTCAGATGATATCCAGGGCCTTATGCTGAGGGGGGGCATACTTACAAAGGGTAATGTGACACATACATATGGGGATGGAAATGTTCTGTATCTTGACTGTGGTGGTGGAAATCAAACCTACTCATGTGACAAAATCAAACACAACTCAATACATACACACAAATCAATAGAATTAAGCCAGAAAAATCTCAATAAAACCTATGGATTGCATCAATGTCAATATTCTGGTTGGGCTATTGTGCTATAGTTTTGCAAGATGTTATCATTGGGGGAAACTGGATCAACTGTACACAAGATTTCTCTGTATTGTTTCTTACAATCGCATGTGCAGTTAAATTTTACTCAAAATAAAACATTTACTTTTTATTTTGTTAATTTTAACTGATTTACTATCGTTCAGTAATGAAGTCAAAAATAAGATAATTATATACAAAAGGAAAGAAGTATTTGTCATCAATTCATATTTTAGCATAGCTAAAGGAAAATCCCAAAACAGAAAAGGTATCATGGAAAAAACTCTCAAGCATCCAGAAGGACAAAGAATAAAGGAAAGAACACGAATAGAGATGCAGACAATCTGTATCTACTCGTATCTCACAGGAGGGAATCTGAAAAGGTGAAGCCACAGTGGAAAACAGTTTGTCAGTTTCTTATCCAAAATTAAGGACACAATCACCACAGACCACATACATTTCAGATGGGAATGGAAAATGGTGAAGCTACACTGGAAAGCAGTTTGTCAGTTTCTTATCCAAGATTAAGGATACAATCACCAAAGACCAGAAATTGCAAGCTTGGGCATTCAACTCAGAGAAATGAAAACTTTGTGAAAGAGTGAAATGAATGAAATGAAGCAAGATTTAAAAATCCAGATGTTCTTTAATAGTGAACCAATACACAAAGAGTGGTGAAACCAAACCATAGTACATCCTCAACAAAAAGAAGGAACTATGGATGCAGATCACAAGTCAGATGGATATCCAGATGAACAAGTGTTATTAGCATCTTTACCCTAATAACTCAAACAGGAAACCTGAAAGTTTTGAAAAGGTGAATAGATAACTATAGGATGGAACACCCATACCATGAAATACTACTCTTCAACAAAATAAGGAATAAGTGATACACACAAGGACATGAGTGTTTTTCTAGGAAATTACCCTGAGGGAAAGAAGTCAATCTCAAGTATCACAGAGTTCCATTTATATAACAATGCAAAAGGGAAAAAATTACAAAGCTGCGAGACACTTTTGTTATTACCAGCTGCTAGAGAGAGGGCAGGGGATGGCAATGGTGGTGGTGGGGGGAGTGTCAACTGGAGGGACCAGGGTATGCTTACAAAAGAGCAATATGAAGAGTCATGGTGGTGATAAAACTGGTTTGAAGGCTTGCCTGAGGTTGAGGATACGTGATAAAACTGTATAGAAATAAATACCCACATTAACAGAAGTGAAACTAGGGACATCTCAACAGTATCTGGAGGATATCAGGTCATTTAACTTAATAGTGATACATTTCTACCATTTTGCAAGTTGATACGATTGGGGGAATTTTGGTAGTGGAAACACAGATTCTCTATATCATTTCTTACAACTGCAGATGCTACTAAATATATCTGAAAATAAAAACTTTAATTAGAAAATGTTGCCACCATCTTTTCACTAAGAATATTGATAAATCTAGATTAAAGGTGCTACCCCTCATGAGTATCATTTCAAACCCTACAAAACTGGTATAAATACAGCAACATACTAAGGAATTGTTTAGCTAGTGTAGTTTTCCAAGATAACTGTATCATTTGTTGTTTCAGGTCTCTTTCTCAAGTTTGTTTGAGCTCCTACCAACATTTCTATAAATAAAACTAGAGGCTCAGTGCATTGGTGGGGCCCCTCAGCCTGTCCTGCAGGGATTGTGCTGAAACTGGCTCTCTGACACCCCCCAAGGGGTCCCGATTGTGAGAGGGTAGTTATTGGGTGACACACCCCAGAATCAGGCTTCCTCCTCTCTAATTCCAGGTGCATCACCTGCGAACCACCACTGCCAAGTGACCACAGCTCAGCAGCTCCTGTATTGAGCATTTGCCCCTTGGTGGTCAGTGCGCATCATAGCTACTGGCCAGGTGGCTGGTCAGCTGGTCGAACCAGTTGCTTAGACTTTTATATATATAGGTACTTTCAGATGTGGGAAGACAAAAAAAAAAAAAACTCAACCATGAATTCCATAACAGGCGAAACTGTCATTCAAACACAAAGCAAATTTATGACAAAGTGGACAGGCTTTGAGGGCGTGATGCTAAGTGAGGTAAGCCAGACAGGGAAAGACTAATACTGTATGGTATCACATATGTGGAATCTAAAAAAAGTCAAACTCATATAATCACAGAGTAGAACGGTGTCTGCAAGGGGCTGGGAAATGAGAAAAATAGAGAGGCTGGTAACAGGGTACAGACTATCAGTTAAAAGGTGAACTATTGTCAGGGGATATATAATATGGTGACTATAGTTGATAATGCTGTATTATATAATTGCAATTTGATTAGAAAGTACAACTTCAGCGTTCTCACAACAAAACATAAAGAGGTAAACGATAGATGTGCTAATTAACTCCATGTTAAGGATCCTTTCAAATGTGTGTATCAAATCATCACATTGTTCAATATTAATATATTACAATTTTATTTTTCAAGTATACCTCAATAAAACTAAAAAATGAACATTCCAACACTTAAAAAAAATAAAGATGAAATAAAGACATTCTCACATGAAGGAAAGTTAAAAGTATATTTCAATTGGCAGTTTACACTTGAGAATGGCCAGGGAAATTTCTCCTATCAGAAAAGAATGATAAAAGAAGAAATCTTGGTGCATCAAAGGGGAAGAAAGAATCATGAAAGCATCAGGAACATGGAGGTCTAGAAACTGGCTAACTCATAGACTGCCAGAAGAATGGTAAAATGGCACAGACTCTCTGGACAACTGTTGGCAGTTTCAAAACATGCCATTACCAGGCAACTAAGCATCTGAACTCTTGGGAAAGCCAAACTTATGTGTACAAAAAAAACCCAAAAACAAACAACTGGTACATGGAGTGACTGTGCTGCCACCGAGGACTCTGCAACCTCCCCCTTGAGCCCCCCTGGCTTCCCGATGCTCCATCCCCCCTGCCCGCCTTCTCCCGCCTCAGCCTTCCGCAGGCCGTTTCCACCGAGGAAAATGAATCGTATCCTATGCCCGCTATCCAGAACCGCCTCTTTCGACCCCTTTGCTGATGCAAGTAAGGGTGATGATCTGCTTCCCGCTGGCACAGAGGATTATCTACACTAATAAAAGAGAAACATGGTAATTGGCGTACGACCGCTACTCTTTTCATTGGCTAATCAGCGAGATATGCAAATTAACTGTCAGCCAAGATGGCGGCCAGCAGCCAGGCAGCTTGAAACTAACATGAGGCTTGCTTCCTTCAGTGACGGAGGAAACCAACATTCTCCGCCTACGGCTGCAGGCCTCTGAGACAGCAGTTTCAGAAAC